GCCCGCTGCGCGGCCCTGGGGCACGGGCTGCAGGCCCTGCCGGGTTTCGGTAGCATCTTACCGAATAGTAAATAACTCTTCAACGCAAGAGGTTTTGCAGTCGCGTTAAAGAAACAAGCCGCAAACTGGTTCAGGAGGCATGTGCTTTTTCTGAGAAATCAATAAATGTGGTCAGTGTTCTGAACGTCTTCTGATGTAAGCACCAGGGCTGCGGGCCCGAGGGAGGTGGTAGTCCCTGCGGGGAGGGAGGGGTTCAGTGTGAGCAGCGAAGGCCAACCTCGGTCCCATGAGTGCTGGGTGTAAGGAGTATAAAAGCTTGCTGAGATTCACGGCCTCAGTAGGTTGTCCTTGAATGATGTCCCTTAAATGTTCTCACTGAGAAGTCAAATAGAGAAGGAGCGCTGTTGTGATAATGGTTATTACACGGTACAAAAAGCACCATCTTTCTGGAGTAGAATTACAGAAAATTATTGAAGTAGAGCTTCTTGTCCCACAAGTCTTTTCTCTCTTTTTTATTTTTTTTTGTTTTAGGAAATACAATCACCATGTCATCTGCACTATTGCCTAAGCCACAAATGCGGCGCCTGTTGGCCAGGCGGATGAAGTTACACCTATTTGGGGCATTTTTTGTATCTGTGGGATGTGCAGCTTTATACAAGGTGAGATCTGTAGTCATTCAATTATGAACTGGACTCATTAGAGCGTTTTAAGAATTCATAATATTTTTTTGTTGAGATTTGCTTGAGCTGTTCATCAGACAGCTTTAGTAATGTATTTTTGTAAGCATGTTTCCAGAACACAAATTTTCCTAATCTTCATTTGAAGAAATGGTATGAGTAACCTCATGCCTTAAGCTGTGTGAACAAGATCACGCAAATCGTGACAACTTAACCTCGAGTCTCCTGGTCCTAGACTACTGTTGATCATTTGCGCAATTGATGCACATTAACTCTAGATAGTTTGTGTCTCTTCCTGTCACAGTATCTGAGACTCAAGAGAATTGTCAAAGTCTTATTTTGTCTCTAGACTGATTTCAGAAAACTTGCTCATAAGCAGTTTGAAGACTCGTCCTTCACACTGAAGATATCAATTTCAAAAAAAAACCCCACTTACAAATTGTGGTTTGTTTTTGTGGTCCTTAAGAGACTTCTGATAAAGAGAAGAGTGGTAGTTGTTCTTGAATGCCTTTACTAATGATTCTTGGATCTCATACAGTTTGAATTACTGTGGAAGAACTGGAGCTTGGTTTGTCCACTGAACTCGCTCATATACTATTTGCAGCATTTGAGTACTCAGGAAGCTATTGATAAAAGTAACTAGCAATTAAGTTAATTTCAGGTTGTTCGTCACAAAAATATCACTGTCGACTTAAACTTCTCAGAGATCAACGCATGTCTGTCACAAACAGTACGCTCTCACAGTTAACGCCCAACATCTACTTAACACATCCTTTAAGAGCTAGGCAAGCTTGTGGTCCAACTTAGAACATAATTTTTTTAATAGTCTGTGGTTTTATACCTTATTTGACACCCCCACATTAATACACTTGTAAGGCAGCAGACCTTATTTAGAACAAGTAACATGGATCTCGGTAGTGATTTACTTTGTTACATGTTTGGCACTGTCAGACAAACCCACCTTGGACTTTTCCTTCACATTTTGGGGGGCTTTTTGAGCATATGCCTGTGCTTCAAGTGAATGAGTATCCAAGGAGTCAGGACTCTGCCTTTTGTGTCAGGACGCTGTGAGACTGGCTTGTCAGTCTTGTAAAATTTTATCAGACTGCTGTAGTTGACCTTCTGTGTAGCTCAGATGTAGCACGTTATTTTAGGATGCCATTTTATCCAGAGTTACAGTTTTGCAGCTGTCCACAGGCACAGAACTTGCCGGAATGGTGTGTTTAACACATAAAACTATTAGCAGGCTGGGCACTGGACGCTTGAGTGTCAATACAGGTGGAGTTTTTCTGGGTCTTAAAAGTGTAATTTGCTGTTTTCTAATGGACTTTGTTTTTAAGGTTTCACTTTGGACATTTCCTACATTTGTTTGCCTGACCAGTGGTCAGGTAGCCTGAACTATAGGTTTGAACAAGAACAAAGTAATATTTTACTAATTTGAGCTAAAGTCTTTTTAGAGCGATACGCACTGATACAAATCATAGCACTAATATAAAAAAATTCTGTTTGTAAAGCTTCGCAAGCTTTAATTTTTCTGTGTGTTACTTTCCAGTTTGGAGTTGCTGAGCCCAGAAAACGAGCTTATGCAGAGTTCTATAAAAACTATGATCCCATGAAGGACTTCGAAGCCATGAGAGCAGCTGGTGTGTTTGAGTCTGCGCCGCCCAAATGATGCCAGCCTGGATTTACAGGTAATAAGCTACTCTGCATTAGAACACAAGTAAGTTAGGTTGTTTCAGTGAAACATTGTGCTTCTCTTTGGAGGTGCTTCCATTTTGATCAAATAGCAAGGTGCTCCCAAAGAAAAAGAATGCACATAGCGCTTGAGAGACCTCCGGGTAACAAAAACATAAAGGAGTAGGGGAACTGGAGATCAGGGAGTAAAAGTGGACTCGAAAGCTCCTGAATACCTTCCGGGGCATGTGTGTAACTTCGGTGATGTAGGAGACTTGCACAGGGTGATGCCAGGCCTTTCCCTCCTCACGCAGACATGTTCAGAACCATTCTGTCTTCACGTGGAGAGGAGACAAAGCTCTTGTTTAAGACTGTAAGATTGCCTGCTATCACTGTTCATGCTGATGCTGTCACATCTTGAACTGCTTAGCTTCGGGCTGTCTATGTCTACTCCTTACGTACTTGTGGTGGAACAGTGAATGAGAAAATGGAGAGGCTGTCTCTGTCTCATAGCATGCATCTTAATGTAAGAAACAGAGACAGCTCCCACACATCCTTTTGTCTTTTGAAGTTGGTGAGAGGGGGAAGATAACTAGTCATGAGGGGAAATGTTTTTACATACATACGTGTGTGTATATGTATATAAATCGCAATGGCATACAGCTCTGTGTACTAATATTCAGATTTTTGCCATACTGAATTAAGCTTGAATGGAACTTTGTTCACAATGCTATTTTCGTAGCACTTTACGCAGCCTTTTGTTAGAAGACTACCAAACTTTATTCTCCCTTACTTGTTGTCATAACACCAGGGCAAAAAAAGTTGATTTCAGCCTTGTCGTAGTTGTTAATAAACACACTCACTAAACTGCACAAGTTCATGGTGTGACAACTCAGTAAAGAATTCCTCCCCCCTCCTGATCCAGATTTCTTACATTGAGTTCTCTGCTTCTCTTAAAATGACTTCAAACTAATCTAGAATGATAGCTTTTTCATTCTTTTGGAATGTTTTCATATTGTGATCATTACGTGATAATCTGTGGCTCTAATTATCGTGGCCAGCTGGATTTTCTCAGCCTGTTTGCTTAAAGCAGCAAGATTGAATAAAACATTTGTACTTAACACTTAATACTAAATTCTGTTGTGTGACAATCTACTACAACTCTCTGTTTTCTGCGTAATGCAATTACGTGAAAAAAGCAGAGCTCCAGCTCTTCTAACAAAGCTTTAAAAAAAAAAAAGGTGGCAATCCCTTCGTTGTTTTTTTGTGAGGGGGGAAACTCCTGTTCTTTAGCTATGACTGCAACAAAGGTAAATAATGAAATGATAAATTTACCTGGTTTTAATCCTGGTAATTCCGCCGCTGGTTCAGTCCTATTGCTAATAGATAAGCACTTTTAAACTGTCTTAGACACTAGAACTGCATTCTTTAGTCAGGTGGCCTTCATCAGAGTATTCCGACAGGCCATCTGGTGGTAAAATCATTTGAAACAAACACTGTCAACAAGGATGCGTGTTGAATATTTAATTGGATTCATGGGCAGGGTTTTTTTCAGTGCAAATGGAGCTCCGCTCTCCTTTAGCTTATGTTCCTGTTTGCAGCTTAAAAAAAAACAATGTTGCACATTGTGTGCACCTGTTAAAATTAAATGTTTCCTAAACATTTCTTCCGTTTCTTCATTACACCAGCTCAAAAGAAAATGTGAAAGACAAATCTTCATATGTGGTTTTGTCTGAATTGCTGATGCTTTTTATTCCTCAGCCTATTTATATAAGAACTGGTATTTTTCACTCCTTCATAGTAGTAAGAGGGTTTTTTTTTGTGCCTGCATGTGAATACGTAAGTAGAAGAAAGAGAAAGCAATGCCAGTGGTTCAGATGTTCTGAAAAGACTGTGAAAAGGACAAGTGCACAGAACAGATGGACGACATTTTCAGTTGCCTCGGTAGCTTAAATCTTTGCTGTGGAAGTTGGATGGAGGTTGAATTTGATGCTTTTTTGGTGTAGTTATGTGAAGGGCACAGTGGTCATGCATGGTCGACATCTCCTGTTTTACTGGAATATATTCTGTACGTGGCAGTAAATACAGTGGTTTAACCTCATCGAATACTCACCGGAATCGGTACTTAGCCCCAAAATTGAGGAAAGGGTAGGGTAGTCACGGAGGAGAATTCGTGAGTCAAGGTGTTCTCCTGGAACTCTGCCCCGAGTATGTTCCTGCGCTGGGCATGTAGGCAACTTGGTACCAAAGTGTGAATTTACTCTGTTTCGTCTACTTGTCGTGGGCCTTGTGGCGACAGCGATAATGGAAGCCAAGTGCAGGTATGAATTTGAGGGATATCCTACCTCTACAGCGTGCTCAGTGGTAGAATAAAGGGGCAAGCTGAGAGTTTGGTGCGAACCGTTTGCATGACTCTTGTCATGGAGCACAGCTGGTCTTGGACTGTGTTCAGTGCAATGGGGAGAAGCAATCTGAATTTGGTTTTCTCCCTTCCTTGGTAGGTTGCCTACACCACTTGTTTCCTCTCTGGCTGCTCTCTGAAAGCCGCATTCCTTTCTCCTTCAGGCCCTTTGCAAGATTGATTCAGTTATCAGTGCAGCATGTATAGTGGATCTGACGTGCTGTGCAGCATTGTTCCAGCTCTTGATTTGTTCCATGTTTCACTTCTGTTTGCCACATGAAGGGTGTGTGAATCTTAAACCATCAGGAAATAACAGGGGGAATTCCTCTAGACTAAACCACCGCATAAACATTTCTGTTGCTTTGCATTCATACATACTGATACATATACTTACAGCATGAAGGTTGTCCAACATAACTTAGTATTTTTTTTTGTCTTGCAGATCCCCTTCAGTCTAAAGGAGACTTGATGACCGAACCTTATTTGTTCGCTGAATTGTGAAGTGTAATGCACTTCCATGCATGGCACGCTCTAACGTGACTCAATAAATAAACTACACATCAGTGGCGCTTAGTTGTCTTCGTTAATGTTGAAATGCTTAAATGCTCAGATGCTGGGAAGAGCTTTTTTTTTCTGGGAATAGCGGTGGAAGGTCTGCATAAATTGCTGAAGATGAGTAAGTGTAGTTTTCTTTCCCCCAGGAATTATTTGCGTCTCTGTTTTGGCCAAATTCCACGTTTGGTAACGAAGTATATCCCTAGGCGGGTACAGCGCGGTTGTCTTTGCTGCTGATGGGAATGTGCGAGAGGGCAGTTAGGGGAAGGGGGAGGCTGGATTTCCGGAAGGGTCTGCATTACTCTGTGTTACCTCTGGCTTCAGAAGGTGAACTGACCTGGAGATGAAAGGATTTGGAGAGGAATTCTGGCAGTATACTAGCCAACCTCCCTATCTTCTGCTGCTGCCATCACTGTGTTGCCTTCCTTATGGCAGCAAACTCTTACATCAAGACTGATAACTATGCGAATGCCCACTCTCGTGCATGGTATGCAACTCTTAATTGGGAAATGCCTCTCGGCTGCAGGTGTGTTCCCATGCGTCTGATGTACGAGGGGAAAGAGGGTGATAGACATAATACTTATTTTAGGGTATTACAGTAATGAAAATCTTTGCGTGCTGCTTCTCAGCACTTACGATCTCCTTTCCAACACCTGGAAGCAGTCAGTGAAGCAGCGTTTCGAGCTGTGCTGCATTCTGCGTAGCCCCAGACCTGCTGCTCCACCTTCTGCCACGGAGCCGTTGCTGGGAACACTGGGAAGAGGCTTTGTGCCTTGCCTGTCGCAGGGAGATGGTGGTGTTGGGTGGAGGGAGGGAGGGCTTTCTATGAAGCGGTGTGACAAATTAAGCCATCTGTGTTGTGTGTGAAGGTCTTCAAATCCTGTTTGGAGTGACTCTTAAATGGATCGTTAACTACTTAACACTTAATAGGTATCGTGAGCAACATTTGGACTAATGAAAGCACGTCAATAACGTATTTGGTCCAGCACAGTGTTGCAGAGCAACAGGGCATTTTCTTTAACCTCTCCATATGGTCGATGCTTCCTTGAAGCAAAGAAAGAATTTGACATTAGCAGTGCAGGGGAAACCATCCAGTAATCAAAATACCCCTGCTCCTATAAATGTAAACGAAAGCGTAACAATAGCAAATGACAGCCATTTATCTTCCCAAGGTACCTTATAAACAGCGGTGCCATTAAGTGCTGACTAACATTCTCTCAGGCATGTCTGCAGGTTTAAATAGCTGGGGGTCTTTAGTCATGCTGACAAGCTTAAGCGGCAAAGCAACTTGCTACTGCCAGGCGTGCAGGCTAACAGGCCTGGCTTCCTGCACAGCTCTGGCCCCTCCAGTTGCCACGAATTAACATACTTTTAAATTCTGAGTGTCTTCTAAACCGTTGGAGCCAACAGCAGTTACTGTTGCGGTCTGTGTTCCTTCCGTTACCAGCGTGCCTTGACTTAAAGACGCGAGAGGCTGGTGACTGAGGACAGCTTTTTGCTGGTAGAGCAGAGCGAGTGATGTAGCTGGCTAAACGAACGCCTGTGTTGTCTGTGCTTCGAGAGCCTGCAGGGTGCCGTTGGGTCTCTCTGTGTTACGGCCTCACCGGGGATGCAGGGCAAGGGCTTCCCTTCAGCAGGCGACACCAGCCAGCCCGCAGCTCGCTTTCTGCAGGGGAACGGAGGGCAAAGCAGGTACCTAACGCAGGGGTAGGCAGAAGGGCCAGCCGTCTCTGAAACCAGCACCAACCCATCAAGTCTCCTATTTTATTTTTTCTTTCTTCTTTTTGCCTTTGCCAGCAAGAGTTCAGCTTACCCTGTGTCACGGGATTTGGGAGCGGGACTTGGCATGGCCCAAGACAGACCTGTGTGAGCTAGACCTGATCAGCTGCTTGGTGCAGGGGCTGGCATGCTGTTTGTGGGAGAGGCACAGCTGAAAAACACGCTTGTCCACTGTGAGACTATCCCATCTGTAATGGATTTTGCTATATTTATATATATTCATATATATTATTAAATATATATTTCATATATATGAAATATGAATACATGGAATGGAATCGTGTGACCTAAACTACTATGGGAAAGGTCTTGCTGTGTATAAGCCCGACCATGCCTTCAAATCTTTGGCTGGCTGGCTTTATTCTCAAGTGTTTGAGGAATGATTGATTGCTCTGGAAGCAAACTAAAAAGCTAGACGCGAGGTTGTGAGCTCTCCAGGTCTGACGAGCATTAAGAGCGTAGGCATGTTTTAAGAGTACACATTGGAGTGCTTTAGCAGCTAAGTACAGGCAGCTGCTCCTTGGACAACTTTGTTTTTGTAGTTCACCCACTCATAGGTAGGAGAGGCTGATTTATACGCTGTCTTCACACACGTTTCCATACGTGCGGTCAGAAGGGGGAGAAAGAACCTGCCTAATACAGTAAAACACTGGCTTAAGTCGCTGAAGAGTGTGATTTAAGCAGGTGTTTATTCCAGGAGAATATAATTCAGGAAAACCACAAATGTATCTTAAACAATGGCTGCAATCTACAAACATCTAGCAAGGAAACTGCTGCCTGCCTTCATTTCTTATGGGTGCGTTTGCATCCTCGTGGCTGGTTTGCGTACCAGAGAGTGACCGGCCAGCTCGGTGCCCTTCCAAGGGTGACCGCAGTGCTCTTCTGACGCAGTTAGTCGCAAAAGCGTAAAACTTGTCAGCACCTGCTTTTTGGCAAGCTAATTGTCAGGTTGGACTTCCAAAGTATTGTCATGATCCATTGCATTTTGTGGCACATGACCAAGCCCAGTGACCAACTGGAATCCAGTGGGGTCTACGTGAGGCTTGCATGTCGGTCTTGTCCTTGTTCCATGCAGTGACCCACCCGTTCACTCCCTTGGAACTGAAGGACCAAACAGCTCACAAAACCAAGTATCATAGGAATAGCTTTATTACCTTTAAACAATCTCATTATATTACAATTTATCCACCAATATGCAAAATTAGAAGTATTAAACTATTTCCATAAAATATTCAGGAATGAAGCATGTGTGTCTATGTACATACACAGTTTTTAAATAGTGTTATTTAAACAATGGCTAAGTTATTAAATCGCTGTATGAAATGTGGATAATGGATAGGCTTATTTCACATTCCAGAAAGGACGATGCAGATCCCAGGCTTCTGTTTTTTAGTACACGAGAGACACGGCGCTGAGAAATACCTCTTACCAAAACAGAACTCACGGGGACAACGTTGCAGTTACTACATTCTTATTTGCTGTGCATTTGGTCATATCAAGTATGCATAGACGTTATTAGCTATGAAGCATATGTCTCTGCTCCAAATGACGATCGGATTTTTATTCCAGTTCTTGTCTCCAATTCCAGCCACGTGCAGGGATCCCCAGGCAAAATTCATGTCCGTAAGTACGCAGAAAAGGGGAGAAAAGTAACACGCATAGCTGAAAACCGAGTAAGCTTTTGTTTTTCAAAATAAAGCTGCCATAGCCAGATTTGGTTTATAAAGTAATCTAACGGTGCCCAGAGATGGTGATTTCTTGTCTCCTAGAAACTGTAAAACATCTGACAACTAAGACACTTAGAAAGCTCATTTGTCTTGATCTGTTTAACATCGTATTTGTAAGTGTATCGTGATGGTGTCATTAACTATGAACGTAATTGGAGCCCACGGGTCCATGCTTTTTGATCAACTTGAAAAAAAACCCCAAACCTCACTTTGCTTTAGCACAAACATATCTGAAAGGTCACGTTTCTAAATATCCCTGGTTTTAGCTGTTCAAAGATGGTGAGCATAAAGTGAATTCAGGCTTCAGCGAGCACGTGGTGTGTAGCAGCGGCAGCTCAGAAGTAAGCGAGAGCCAGCAGGGCCGTGCCCAGCACCTGCACAGCCGCGCTACACCGAGCTCGCAGCTTCTCGGGCGATTCCAAGGTGATGGAGCTCTGTGGCTCAGATTTTTGAACTGCACGTTACTGACTTCCAGCTAACAACCAGACAACGCACAATGTCGGATAGACAGTGCGAGTCCTTCTGAAAATCTGATGGTGGATAAAATAAAGTTTCTGTATACAGACAGTTTTAAAAATAAATTCATGTTGTAGTTCATGTTTTGTTCTCCAAACTGCACGAAGGCACTAGTTTACATTAAGGACTAATGTCCTGCAAAACTTCAGTCAAATAAAGGAAGCTATTTTAAGGTTAAAGTGGTGCTAAAACCCAGCTGTCACTAGTAACTTAAACCAGCCACAGCGCGTTTTTCAGATTTAGTGGGGGAAAATGTTTTGCCTCAGGACGTACGTGTTGGGGGGAGTGCATGTGCGGGGGGAAAGGCTCAGCCTTGAGCCAGTTTTTACAGCTGAGTTATAAACCTGGTTTATAACAGAAACTGGCAGACCCTAAAATATGATATAGTAGGTATTGATACACATTTTGTGTGTGTGGCAAAAATGTCTGCGTGCACGCAAATTTTCCTTATTCTCTGATATTCAGTTATTGAAAAGAAAAAGGGCTTTGATCGAGGTGCAGCCCGAGGCCGTTTCTTTTCACTTTATTCGTCTGCTAGAACACGTTCCTTCCAGCATTAGTATTTTGGCTGGGGGGCAGGAATGTTGTCAAGATTAGCGAAGCTATTGGGCTTAGCTTTGTTAGCATCTCCTACCTCCTCAAAAACCATATGCATCTCTACTTGATGTAGGTTGCTGCAGAGAAAGCATTGCTTTCAAAATGGTAAGGCCTTGCTATACTCACCACAAACAGTAATTAATTAAACCCTTTCCTCAAGGCTTTATTTTTCACCATGGTGAATCTGCTGATGAATACTTGGGCAAAATTTGGATCCACTACATACTGATACGTTTTTGTTATTGTCGGAAGGTGTTCGGTAGCCGCAGTTTGCAGTGCTGGCACCGTCGCGGTGCTGGGCGCGAGGTGATAAGATGTCTTTGTGATGTAGTCCACAAGGCGGTTGTATTGTTGCTCCGATAATCTCTCTCTAGCTCCATCTGCCTGAAATCAGAGAAGACAAAATCGTTACTGAACTACTGACAGTAACTGAACTTAGTAGCAAGGACAATAAACTTCCACATTGCTTTCTGTAGTTAAAAATCTTCCTCCCTGGGATCTTTCTTACAGCAGTTTAGTGGATGTTTTAATCAACAGTGCTCTCCCATAGTTTAGTGCTTGGTGGATTGGTCATCTCCTTTGCTCTTTTGGACACCTCTGAGAAGCTTTAACTCTGCCATAGCAAATTTAAGCAGTATCTTTTGAGAATTTCAGGGGTGGACACCTTGGCCAAGAGTAGATCTTTACCACAGATCACAGAATCACAGAATCACAGAATAGTAGGGGTTGGAAGGGACCTCTGTGGGTCATCTAGTCCAACCCCCCCGCCGAAGCAGGGTCACCTACAGCAGGCTGCACAGGACCTTGTCCAGGCGGGTCTTGAATATCTCCAGAGAAGGAGACTCCACAACCTCCCTGGGCAGCCTGTTCCAGTGCTCCGTCACCCTCAGAGGGAAGAAGTTCCTCCTCATGTTCAGACGGAACTTCCTGTGCCTCAGTTTGTGCCCATTGCCCCTTGTCCTGTCACTGGGCACCACTGAAAAGAGCTTGGCCCCATCCTCCTGACACCCACCCTTCAGATATTTGTAGGCATTTATAAGGTCCCCTCGCAGCCTTCTCTTCTTCAGGCTGAACAAGCCCAGTTCCCTCAACCTCTCCTCGTAGTGGAGATGCTCCAGTCCCCTCACCATCCTTGTAGCCCTCCGCTGGACTCTCTCCAGTAGCTCTTCATCCTTCTTGAACTGGGGAGCCCAGAACTGGACACAGTACTCCAGATGAGGCCTCACCAGGGCAGTGTAGAGGGGAAGGAGAACCTCCCTTGTCCTGCTGGCCACACTCTTCTTGATGCACCCCAGGATCCCATTGGCCTTCTTGGCAGCCAGGGCACACTGCTGGCTCATAGTTAACCTGTCGTCCACCAGGACACCCAGGTCCCTCTCTGCTCTCCAGCAGGTCCACCCCAAGCCTGTACTGGTGCATGAGGTTGTTCCTCCCCAGGTGCAGGACCCTGCACTTGCCCTTGTTGAACCTCATCAGGTTCCTCTCTGCCCAGCTTTCCAGCCTATCCAGGTCACGCTGAATGGCAGCACAGCCTTCCGGTGTATCTACCACACCTCCCAGTTTGGTGTCGTCAGCAAACTTGCTGAGGGTACATTCTAACTCTTCATCCAGGTCGTTGATGAAGAAGTTAAACAAGACTGGGCCCAGTACTGACCCCTGAGGGACACCACTTGTCACCAGCCTCCAACTAGACTCAGCGCCGCTGATGACAACCCTCTGAGTTCTGCCATTCAGCCAGTTCTCTATCCACTTCACCGACCACTCATCCAGCCCACACTTCCTCAGCTTCCCCAGGCGGATATCATGGGAGACTGTGTCGAAAGCCTTGCTGACGTCAAGGTAGACAACATCCACGGCTCTCCCTTCGTCTACCCAGCCAGTCATGTCATCATAGAAAGCTATCAGGTTGGTCAGGCATGATTTCCCCTTGGTGAATCCATGCTGACTATTCCTGATAACCTTCTTTTCTTCCACTTGCTTGATGATGGCCTCCAGGATAAGCTGCTCCATCACCTTTCCTGGGATGGAGGTGAGGCTGACCGGCCTGTAGTTCCCTGGGTCCTCCTTCTTGCCCTTTTTGAAGATTGGAGTGACATTGGCCTTTCTCCAGTCCTCGGGCACCTCTCCTGTCCTCCAGGACCTCTCAAAGATGATGGAGAGTGGCTCAGCAATGACATCCGCCAGCTCCCTCAGCACTCGTGGGTGCATTCCATCGGGGCCCATGGATTTGTGGACATCCAGATCACTTAAGCGATCCCTCGCTCTTTGTCGATGGGAAAAGCATCTGAATCCCTTTTAGAAAAATGCCAGTAGCTCTTAGCAGTGCTCATCAGATAGCAACTTCAATCAGCAAAAACATTTTCTCACAAAGTACAATTAAAGACAGCCCATAGCTATATCTGGGCAGTTAAGCCTGTAACTTATCTGATTTAAAATGAAGTGACCTCCCAGGTGGTGGGTCGATGACAGGATATATCCATCTGCATCTGGTAACCAACAAGCCATTCCGGGCCAGAGGACCCAGAAAATCACATTTTTTTAAACAAAAGGGTTTTATGAAAGATGGTTTGGCCGTGTTGTTTCTGGAGCAGAAATGAAGGTGTCTATGCAAACTGCCCTCTCCACCGCGAGTCGGAAGGACTCTGCTGAAGAGATCCCTTTTCGCAGGCTGAAATACATAGAGGTTCAAGGCTCTAGGAAGAGGGATGCAAGTAACCCACCTCTAGTGGATCAAAACACAGTAAAATAAATACTGTCAACAGAAAGGTGGCATCTACCGTACGGTTCCAACTAGATAAGGTATTGGATGAAAAGCCATGGGCAAACCTGGCTTTGGAAGACCAATCTGCTATGCACTTTTTTTGAAGAAGAAATTAAGATGACTGTGACTAGCTAGAGATGGGAAAGCACGCAAGCAGGCATCAAGGTAGTTGTATGGTTTAAAAAAAATAGTATATCAGCAATAGCACGGTGGATGCGACAGTGGTACCACGAGCAAAGATATTCAGAATAGCAGTTATTTCCAAAGCATGAGAACGGACAAAATGGCAGCAGCTGTCCTAGGGCTAGGCTTTGATGCTTTCTTATTGACACTTGGAGAACTGCTGACCAGTTCCATTTTAGCAGGGTTTAAAATGTCTGTGTTTGTTGGATGTCACGCTGAGAATTCAACGGCTGCTGTCTTCTAACTGTCCTTCGGGGAGTTTTCCGCATGCCTCACGAGATGTCCTGATCTTTCCAAACAATGCCATTGGATTCAATTTAACATCCGCAATCAATATCTTGTCACGTCTCTGGACTGCAAGGCTCATTTTAAACAAACCATTGCTTATTTGAAGAAAGAATTAATATGATTGATAGATAGTGACAGATGTCACATTCAAATCAAAACAGTCCCCTCTGTTTTTTTTACCATGCCTTTGGAGATGGAGTTGCTGCTCAGCAAGCAGAAACACTCCTGTTTTCAATCATCACCACAAAAATGCTAAAGGAAGCAGGCTCATGAGCAAGCTCAAGGTTGGAGCCTGTGCCTGGAAACAGCGGAAATGATGAAATGGGCAGAGGAGAGTATGCTGTCACGAGACGAATGACCTTAAAAGAAGGGAAAAATCAGAAGGCAGACTGCTGCAGCAGACTCCTGGCTAACGGTGGAGAACGGTGTCCGAACCACGTCTTCAGTCTGGCGGCACAGAAAAAGCAGCTCAGCAGTCGGTCTGTTTTACCAGTTGAAAGGAGAGAAATACACGAAAGCACCACCTACATAAACTAGGTTTTAAGTTATGGGGTAGATCTTGCATGTAGGTGGCTCCACATATTTTCCTGATTTCTACTTGTAGAGAGGTAAGCGCTGGGGAAGCCGGGTTAGAGTTCTGCCTCCACAGACCAAAAGGCCCAAGTTATCGAAGGAGATGGAAAGGGCGCGGGCATCCCACTCCCTGACTCCTGTGAGCCCATTCTTCATTGAGGCCCAGGCTATAGCCCACAGATACAGCACAATTATTCCTGAGGAAATATGAACTGCACTTGGATGGTCTTCCGAAGTAACTGGGACCCTACTTGCTTCCAGATGACTTCATCTGCAACTGTCTGCTTCTCCAGCCAGTCTCAGTTTAGCTGATATTGTCAAGACAACAACAGAAACTTGGAATTGCTGTTATTCCACATTTTTTTCCTAAACGGAACCTAATGTTGTCACTAGGTGCCTTAGCCCACTACTTTGAACGACTAGAATGTTAATAAGCCAGACCATTCGATGAGTCAAAACTTGGTTAAAGGTTGCTTAATTCACCTGCTAGAGGAATCTTAAAGCTATCGTGTCCTTTCATGCTAGAAGGCCATACTTTTGGGCTAAGAACTCCAGAATTTTTCTAAAATTCCTCCCATTATGCCTTATAAAGAATAAGCCTTCAGCAATTCTAACTCCACAGTAGCTACAGGACCTTTGTTGTGCAGTCCAGATGTGTCCATGGCACCGATGGGCTGCTTTGCGCACACTGACTAAGGAGATCTGGCTCTTTAGGGTTTTTTTTCCACTGCTTTGAAAAATCCAGAGGCTGGTTTTCAGCTCCAGAGATGATAACATGTAACACTACCATGAAAAACCTGTTGCAGCTCCTCACAAAGAAATTCTGGAATATCTGAAATTGCAGGGCCCTTCAATGTTACGAGTTACACCACGAGCAGCTGGAAGAGCAGGCCTTTTGAGTCTGATGGCTGTCTGGAACCAAGCAGTGTCTCAATTACTTTGGAAGATAACCCAAGTACAATTAATGCTTTCCTTTCAATAACAATGTTGTCAATGCCAGAGGTTTCAAGAATCCATCCAGGTTACCCCTAGCCAGATGGATTAAGTTATATACTGTGGAGGCGAAGAAGCCATCAGGCAAACCTGTTGCTGAAGGAGTCAAAATACGCTCTATAACATCTCTGGTGATTACAGCTGTAGAATAACTCATATTTTGTTTCCTAATAGTTCCAAGAAGCTGAGGAGAGGGAAGGGGAGAAACTGTTTTGGGCAGAGCTGAAACGAAACTTTTGGCAATTATTTTTGGGAGCAATAAGACAAAAATGTGGATCTTTATAATGTTGAAATGAAAAACTTTGATTTGTTGTATTATTTTACGATGTTTAACTAAATTAATCAGAAAAATAGACACAATTTACACTGGGTAACATTACCTCTATTTTGCTAAACTCACCATAATATTTTGGTTGACCTGACTGGGCGTTTTCCAGCTAAAAATTCTGTTCTTCTTTACTAATGTCATCATGTATAGACAGGTCTGCACTTCAGCTGAGGACACCTTCAGTGCCACAAGACGGCCCACCATTAACGTACAGGAGTTGTGGCTATTTCGGTGCAGGTCTGCAGCTCTGAGGCTGCTCACCTGCAAGTCACAGCTTGTTGCTCCTGAGGTTCCTTCTCCTAACCACACTCCAAGAGCTTTTTGAAGCTCTTGTTGGGGAGCTGAAGGGGAGGCCCTGGCTCCCACCAGCACCAGTGCTGCACCCAGCGCCCCAAGCACCACAGAGCTGACATGCTCAGCTGCAGAAAAGAAACTACTAAGGTAAAAACCTGTAATAAGCATTAATTACAGATGTATATTACTTAACTCTATGTAACTACTAAAACTTAATGAAGTTTTTGGACTTTTATTGTGTAGCTGCATTAGCATAAAAAATTTAAGCTTTCTCATTCTTGTCTGCCTTACTTTCAACCGCTCCTCCTTATAGCACATTTCTTTAAATTTTCACACAAATTTCAGCATCAGCATTTGCATTCTGAAGGAGTATTTTGCCAGGTCTGTTTCGTACAGCACCACTCAGCTTTTGCTGTCTGGCCATCACTGACTTTCTTCCACCTGGGGCACAGGCACTCTTCACCGCTTCTGTCGCGCCTTAGATTTTCACTGCGTTCTCAAGAGCTGGTGTCAGCGAAAGGGCTTGTGTGCCGAGGCTGGGGGGCTCAAAGGCTTGCAGCTGCTGGCACTGCTGCGCTACTGGAGTGGGACTCCCGTATTTCTATCCAGAACTTCAGCAAAAACCCTGTGTTGGGTCCAGTACCTCCAAAGCAGGTTACATTCACTGCGTATACTGGGGGGTGTGTGTGGGAAGGCCGGACCCTGCACATGCCATGTAGGGTTGCACCGCGCAGGCAGAGGAGCCACTTGCCCACAAGTCCTCTACGCTCCCAGCTGCAGCAGCTGTGGGGACGAGAATTAGGCTCCTGGTCCCTCGTTTTCCCTTCCCCCAGACAGGCAGCCCCTCTGCCTCCTCACCCTCTTGCAGCAACCCTTGGGCAAGCAGCCCTTCTCCCAGAGCAGCGGCCTACCCCTCACCCCTGGAATAAGCAAATACATAAACAAGAGCCATCACACTACAGTCTAATAAAAAAAGATCTGGGCTAGTGCTAAAGCTAGGGTTAGGATGGGTTGAGTGCATGAAATGCCTTAGGGAGAGCGAATTATCCTCCTCTTCCCTCCAGGACGGTAGCTCTGGACTGAGCAGGACAGTCTGGATTCAGTCTGATGTGTGACTCCAGCAACCACACAGCACTCGGGAATAAAAAAGCTGAGCTTTGCCCACTTGCACTAAAATTTAAGTAATGCCTCATGTAGCTCTGTGGTGAGAGAAGGCAACTTCAGTCAACAGCACTCCGTGAGACTGAGGTTAGTGGAAACACAATAAATGTAAACAGAGAATTCAGCACTAAAAAAAGCTTTCACAAAAAAATCCAAGTGCTGTCATGGCACAGATGAGGTCCTTGCTGCGCTGGAATCGATGGCAAAATGCTTCAGTGACTTCAGCAAAGTTAGGATTTTACTGAAGGTGCTGAAGCCTCCCCTGTTTTGGCACACCTCATACTCCACAGGGTTTTACATCTGTTCTTTTCACATGTTTGAAATCGAGAAATTTCTGGTACGGCAGTGTATGAACTACCTGACACAGTTTTATAAAAACAACAACTGGGACATCCATGTTTGTTTTTGAAATGATCTCTCATATGATTCCACTTGAGAATTTAATACAATAAACATTGTTTCCCAAAAGTGTAAAAATATAACATTCTTCTACCATTAAAAGCAGATAATTCATCCAAAACCTCAGTATTCGAATAGCTTAGAGATCTTTCAATATGAAGATGAAGGATTTATGCTCTTACTGGCAAACACTTGGTACATCCAATCTCAGCAAAGGAACTGATCCTTTTTAAAGTCAGCGTTTGCAGAAGGAAGAGCTAAGGAACTAAATACAGCTGGCAGCCAAGTGAGACTGCTGCACTGGAAGCGGCAAGATAAGGAACATGCTGAAAGGAGCGTGCATCGGCACCACTGAACCATTAAAGCAGAACTCACAGAAGAATCAAAGGAACCGTTCTCGCTGTGACTTTGTAGGCGCGGGCAGCAACGCTGACTTGCCAAACCACCAGCCCCTCATGCACAGGTACTCACGAGAACCTCTGCAGAAAAGAGGAGGTGCTTCCCAAGAACCCGGGCCTCCTCTACTTTTTCCCTCAGAAAATTGCTGTCATAGATCTGAAATGTCACGATCAGCAAGAGGACAGAAGGGAGGAGACAGGTCCCTTCCATCCAAAGGGCCACGCAGTCACCTCCGAGGTGTGTGAGAACAGCAGGTCCCCTGGTTCAGCCCTCAGACCTCTGGCCTCCTGACCCAAAGGTGAGTATGCCTGTTGCCAGAAGCATCACTGTCAGCGTACCTTTGTCTTTGAATGAAAATTGTACTCAAGTCTTTACCTCCAAATCAGAAGGCACTCTCTGTTGTTTCAGCTGCACCTTCAGCAGGTCTTTTTGCTGATCATCTTCCAGACAATCGATTTCGGTCACGGGGAATGCCTGCTGCTGCGTATCTTCACTGATGCTGACCACAAAGAGCACCTCTGAGGTGAGCAGCAAGCAGCCTTCATGCTGCTGGCCTGATCCACTCACAATCATGACGTCTAAGGCCATATGGACCTCCGGCCTTCCTAGAGACTGAAGCATTTTCCTGCATTATCAAGGGGGAAAAAAAAAGAAAAAAGAAAAGAAGAAAAAAATGAAGTAGTCAGTGTTATGCATTGGATCCTACCTAACCTCTTTTGACCACTAATGTTTTTGCTTAAGTCTGTAGCTATCACCTAACCTACAAACATAAAATAAGCCAGGGAGTACATTCCAAATCTCCATGACCAAAAGATGTAAGACTTCAGATTTAGAGAATAAATGTGAAGCTGTTATTTATCAAAACTGCTTAATCCTTCACTGCAAAATTGGCCTAACAACCATGCTAGGTCAGCCTATTTCCTATCCTAATAGAAAAATTACCCTGAGAAGTGGCTTACAAATTCAAGGCAGAAAATAAAGCTATCTTCACTAACAGCTGTTTCTGGAGATGTGCAGTATTTTTCTTGGGCTCGGTGCGCTGAGAAATAAGTAAGAACTCACTGAATGCCATTAAATAAAGATCAGCTCTGTAGTTCCAAAGCTGGAAGCAGATCAGCAGCCCATCACTTGCAGATTGGGTTTCCATGCACTACCTTTGTGTTTAATGTTCCTAAACAAACTGCCATAACTCAGCCTTTCCTAGGGAAGCGGCCTGTTAACTTGACTGCAGGCCAGAACCTATTAATAAACAATGTGGATGTAAAAATGAGCAAGTGTCTAAATAATTTTACCAGACATATTTGACGTGGCTATTTGGAGCCTGCTCAACATGTTGATCATTTGGATGAGAGCGCTGCTTGGGAAGCTGAGAAAGTCCAGCTCCGTGCAAAATACCTGTGGTAAGAGAATTTAAGTTTTTTAGTAGTTGTTTTCTAGAAAACAGGTACACATTGCAGTGATGTCATCTGTTTAGAGCAGTTCATAAAATAGTGCAGGTTCAAAATGATGTCACATCTTTGGAAGCTGTAGTCAAGATAATTCATTAAATATTACAATGCAAGAGCTGTGCACTTAACCCCGGTGATCTTGCATCAGCAAGAAACCAAAAAACCACCACCGTGTGTTCTACAATTCAGCCATTCACTTGCAATCAAGAGAAACATAATGCTCCTGAGAGCCATCACTTCGGAGCAGGATCGGACACATCGCTTAGGATTTATGCAGAAAAAATCAAAACCGTTGTTAACTTTCTTGCTTAATATTAAAATACTTCCACATACGTGTCACGATTGGTACAAATTAGAAGGCAAGTTTGCCTAGATACTGTATTTAAATGTTCAGTTACTTAATCCAGCTGTTAAACACAGATCCATACACATTTATGAGATCTCCAGGGGCATCTGGTTTATTGTGAATTCTTCTTCGTTCCAGCACAGAATGGAGACTACAAGAAGCAGTTAAACAGGTTTCTAAGTAGACTATCCGAAGCTGAAGATGATACAGTATGTGTGCTTTCAGATGGCTTGTAAACTTTTAAAGATGAGGTATGGTCACCAGAAAGAATGAGTTGGTTGCAAAAAAATTCACAAATTAAGTAGTTTTGAAAATTTTTACAAGCCAGGCAGGAAGTAGGCTAAACAGCAAGCACCAGTGTTCTACGGTTTAGTGCAAAGTTACTCGTTAAATAAACAAAGACATTTTCTTTTGTCTAATTAAGCATTCCATTGAAGCAAAAGGCATTTTTGCATAAGGGTGTCAATAACTTAGATTCCTTTCTACACAATGGATAATAATTTAAACAAAACATCAGCTCTGAAAAAAACCCTGTAATTTTTAGCACACATGTTGATGGTAATACTTAAAAGCAGCATCCCAGTTGTAACACTTGGCTTACCGAGGTTCTCAGCATTATGTGAGTGAAAATGTTATTTACAGATGGAGAAAGAGAGAACATGTGTTTATTTCTGTGTGGTCCCCCACCCCTCGGTCCCCCCCAAGAGGCACGGTCCCACTTCCAATCCAGTTGTGGGTAAGAGTTACTTGAACTCTTGTGTGTTTTCCTCTCACGCACTGTCAGCTACTATTGATACAGTTTTATGTTTTTTCCTGGCTAACTCTTTTTGTCACATGCTCACGGAAAACATGATGTCTTGTATACCATATCTGCAATGAAAACCGTGCCCCTACTGTTGCAAGTTTCTTGATAAAGACTGCAGCGGAATTAAATCTAGACAGAACAATGCCATGGGCAGCACAGCCGGCAGCAGACAAGAGTTTCTGATTTTACCAAGACGGGTTTTACACCTATGGGATGCATAATTCAGGAGAACAGTTATTATTTACACTCACACAAACAAGATATAGTTAACTTGAAAGAACGGTAATAATTAAATGTTTCATTAATTCTTTAAATAGATTGCTTCAAGGAATGAGTTCTGAATGTAATGGGAAGCATGGAAACAATATCCTAAGCTTAAGCCCTAGGAGAACTACTCCTATTCTAATCAACACATCACAAACATAACTATTGCTAGCGATTAAAGGCTTAAATCTTCAAGGTTTCTCTGGTGTAATTAGTGAAGCAAAATTATTGACACATTGTCCTTGTATCAACAGGTCTCCCTGCCTTTCTCCCCGGACTGCCCCTCGCCCCCCCCTTTAAATATCCAGACCACCAGCTTTGATTTATTAATACTGGAAACAAAGAAATTAATATATTTTGATATTTTGTTTTTATCTTTTGCAGTTTTTCCTTGTCCAGAAGTATTTCTATCGATCTGGAAGGATTCACCACCACTGCCACTAAGTCTAGCTAAAAAACCCACCTCTGGTCCTTAAAAGGTTACCCGTGCATCCAAAAATGGGACTGTCCTCTCACAACTCCCCATTTTAAAGCGGATGCTCCCACTACACCACTCACCGTTTTCTCGCAGGAATATAACTCTCTTTTTTTCTACAGGCAGCACAACTCTTTCCTTGCCGTAACAAAGCAATCGCAACACTCTAACTGGACATAGTATTCCTCTAATACTTTCATGTCAAAAACTCTTTTGCAAGCACATATGTTTCTGTAACTAATTCTACTGTATTCCAAGAATTACTTCATGCTTTCTGCACTCTGTGTTTCTGTGGCTGTACAACGCTGATTTGCAATATAAGAGAGAAGCACAACATGATGGCTTTCAGGAAAACGAGCACAACATTTACAACTATTCAGTGCTGGCATTTCTAAATCTTTCTCTAAGTCACGCAGTTACTGAGCTGGACAAGTATGACATAGCAGGTTGTATCTGAAGAGCCTTTTCAAATTCAAATGGATGTTGGAAATAGAGAAACTCACCGTAACCTGTTTGGGAGACGAGCTCAGCAGCCCCTCCGATGGGCTTTGTGAAGACACCCATGATTCCTTTCCCCACACCCGAGATGACCCCTCGGGCTTTATGCCCGGCCGAAGCTTGGGCCTCAGACACTCGCTGAAAATTCTGCATTGGCTGATCCACAATCCCAGCAATTGCACCTGAAAATACAAGTCTCCAGTAATTAGTGAAGATTAATATCCCAGAATAAGAGGAAATCTTACTACTGCACCTGAATGTTGCTTGGATTATAGACTGTACCCCACCCTTCTTATACAGCTATTTAACATGCGACCAATTAGCTAAACCATACCTTAGCTTCAGTTTAAGTCAAATCTCCACTTCCTTGTTTTTTTTTTCACGTATTTTACTTTTTTAAACATTCAGATCACTTGACAGTATGTTTTCATCTTTCAAATACTTTCCCTAAATGCTTTTGCTGAGTTAGTCTAATTTAGCTCATTCTGTGTAGCAACGCTGAAAATGTTGGGCTCGGAAGAAAATCCACCCATTTTAGAAGACTTGAGCTGTTACGGAAATGAGATTTTCATGTAAGCCTGAGATTGACTTCATGAGAATAAAAACTGCCTGTATTCAATAGATCATTTTTATATCCTCTTCCACTGCCAGCAATGTTCATAAGCTAATGTAACTTTTGATATATTACTAAGATTAGCAGAATTAGACATTGAGACTTTTTGTTACTTTTTGTGAAAACGATCATATTTTACTTTAATGCGCATGGGTCAAACTTTTACAAGTGACACGGTGACCTTCCCAGGTTTTAGTATCAACAGAGAACTCCAACTTAAATCTTCCTAAATGTAAACAGGTATGTGAGGTGGTACATTTCTTTGATCCTGAGTTTACTTGAGCCACTTAACCACAGAGATGTCTCTAGTTATTGTAATTTTGATAGATAAGCTATTTGGAAATCGCTAAGAGCACAAGGACTGGACAAAGAGCCATCAGTTAGAAAACGGCCTGCTTGATCCAAGGTTCTTTGCTCAGTGAAACGCAAGTTTGCAGGCTCCTTGGCTAGCTCTCAGTTTGCACTTTGGGCTGCAAATACCAAGATAAAACACCTATTTAAGGAGTAGGACCAGGTGTCACCTTGATAACCAGGCATGTTTACTGCAACCCAGACATCTTTGAAGATACTGCTTTGTATGTGCAAGCAAATCTATGCATAATTCCACAGATTCGGACAATCGCAGCCTAAGTACTTGGCCCCATGTGTTTACCAGCGTGACATGCACTAGTCAGATAGCTGCTAACCGGTTTTCAGATGGTTTTAGTTACTGTTACTGGATAAACGGAGAAGTTGCTGACGTTGAACAACAAGAACTAATATTGTACTTGTACACTGGTATTCTGTCCAAAGAAAAGCCGAGGATGAGACGCAGCACACATTTCCCCAGAACCTTATCCCTGGGACACTATCTGTCAGCAATTCAAGAAACTTGCATCCCCCGTAAATGCCTCCCTCTCCTCTCAGAGAGAATGCTTCCAACTTCTATATGTGTATCCTTTAGTGATGAATGTGTAGTATTTCCCCAGAAAATGCTGGTCTGCTTTTAATGTGATAGCAGCTTTTGCTGAGCTCGCCCACTGGAGCCGAGTGTGCAGCTGAAAGTTCACCCTTTGTACCACAAAGGCCATGAAGCTTCCTTAATGCCACGCCATGGAAATGATACAATTTTCAATTCAATTCTGTTTCGTTAGTACTTACCAGCTGCTCCTGCTCCTTTCCTAAAATAACACCCCAACACTGCATTACACAATTGGGATTGTTCGCCCAGTCTTTTCTTTTGTATGATTATGATGCATTTGAAGGCATAAAACAATACTTAGTGTTCTGCTAAGTTACAGTATTACGTTACCCTGTGACCTTCTTCACCCTATCTATCGAGGTCATCCACAGCAACTGCACTTTCAGAACAGAAGTTATTGCCTTATTAAATGTAATCCACCTAAGTCCTAGCACTAGTAAATTATTTACTGCAATACACTTGAGCAATGTTATACGGTAATAATAAATAAGAGCCTACTCCAAAGGACCTATGGTATGCTCCAGGCACTTCTCAGCTGGAATTAGGCCCAGAGGACAGGGAAACAGAATGGAAACTGCTGTGATTGTGTTATATAAGATTATTTATATAGTACCCCAAATAATATATAGCTTAATTAACCAGTTGTTTAGTACTTCCACACTTTCGGTTATTCTGCCATTTTATGCATGCTTTGAACTTGTCTATGACGCCATGGCCCTTTTGTACCTCAAATTCTTTTGCAAGTTCTATCTTTCTACCTGCAAACAATATAATCAATGATCTCTTCCCTCTCTGCTCACCCTTTGTAATCTCTTATCTTGAACTGCAACTCACTGACATAACTCATTCACGTGCTGTCGTCATGCCCACAAATCACACAATAAACTACAATCTTACTCCTTTCATTAAGGAGTGGCTGGTCCTACCACCCTTGCATGGGGAAGCCAGACCTGTGCAGCTCCTTTCCTGCGCGCGTCATGTGCGGGCAAAGGAAAAAAAAAACCAACAGGTCAAAGGCTGAGCAACCTCAAAACCCAGCAGCAATGAGATAAAGGTGACACACACCTGAAGTTCACTGCATCTCCTAGCACCAGGAACTGCGCAAGGCAGATGTCCACTGTGTCCATGTGGCTGCCTTCTTTCTAACATAAAGTTACTGGCAGGAGCACCGTGCTGGATGGACTTGCCACAGAAGGTCTCTCCCCCGGGATTTCAGTAGGGTACCAGAGAAGCAGAGCACGGAACCACATGTAGTGGATCCTCCCTTCCCACTCGCAGTCTCACAGTCCAGAAACAGCTACAGTGTCCTACTGCTGTCCCTGTCCCTTCTCTGGAATGTCCCTGGCCCGTGTTTTTTTTTTTTTTAATGAAACCATTCTCCTTTTTCCTTTCCTTCCTTACCCTAAGCATTCAATTTTATATGCATGTCCACATATGTACACACAGATTATGTATGTATAAAGAAAACTTCAATAAAATTAAACACCAAAGCAACAAAACAAAAACATATTCTTCCATTACTGGACCAAAGAGGTTCCAGCAACACCATAACATCTGCTAAACATCAGCTGGGGTGCACTCTGGTTAATATATGTTGCTCAGTAACCATAAAAAAGATACTTTGATAACTACAAAATTCAGACAGTTCAGAGTATATCACTGTATTACTTCAAGAAGAATTTGATTACGGGCAGCAACTGTTCGTGCGCAGACTGACAATGTTTGGTGAATGTAGCACGGCTTAGGAACTTTGCAAAGCTCGGGCCACTTATGACAAACTCTTCCAGACCAAGAAATAATTTGAAAAAAATCCCCATCAGGAGAAACTGGCCATGCTTTGCCATGAGGCTGGAAGCTAGCCAAACTGAAACCATTTTGCTTCCTTTTCTTTTCCCTGTTGTCTTTCAGGATTGCTGCAAGTGTTTCACACCAAAAATACGGCTGAAGCATGGTCTCATCACAGCAAACATCACATAAAAATATGGCTAAAAGAAAAGAGCACCTGTTGGCGTGCATTCATATATTTGCAGAATTACTGTGCAGAATAACACGCAGCTTCAGGGTTGGCAATGGTTCTTAGTATCTCGCTTGCAGATAGGCAAATGTAGAGTGGCCCCGATTCAGGGATAGTTGCACAGCAAGAACTACCACCACCACCCTTAATAACAAAAATTTGAGCTTCTGAAATCCCGACTCTACCTTCTCTAGCAGCAGAGTTATGCTGTCAGTCAGCATTACTATCAATTCAAAAGCAGAAAGGAGTAACTGAAATGTTGAGCACTTTTGCCATGGTGAAAAATGGCTTTTCGAATAGCTGTCAGCTTTCTGGTTATTCAGAAATGCTCAGCTTCTTAAAGGGAGCTACTTCAATATGTCATTTTTCACTAGGACCAGTAGCTGAAAATAAAGCCTATAGTTTCGATATTCTCTTTTACATTGGTTATAAATTATTATTTTAAGCTTGACCCCATCGTGCAAAATGCACAAGAGAGTTCCTTGGTAGGGAGTGCCGATCATCTAAATATTTTAAATACAATTTCACTGCATTTTTGTCTAATCATATAAAAGAAAAAACACACCTGTCATACACTTTTGCTTCTTTTCACACACAAATGTTCGTAAAATGACCCAGAAGTCTCCCCCAAACTAGGAAAGACGACAACAGCCGGCCAAAGATAACAATCACATCAAACAACACCCTGACAGTGCCTGAGTCATTTAAAACAAGACAGGACAAAGCACTTAAGAATGTACCACAAGGAACAACTTGCACTGAGGAGGAGACAAGAGTACGATTTTGGCCCTGGTTCAGCAAAGCTCTTAAGCACATGCTTAAGTGCTTTGCTGAATCAGGGCCACCATGAACCAGATATTCAGAAAAATCCGAAATCTTCTTTCTGCATAGATACCACTACGCATTGGTGAACTAAGGGCGTGTACATGCCTGTGCCTAGGCACGAAATCTGCTTTTGCAATTCTTTAAACTGCCTGCATGAGTCAGATGGTTGTTACAAATGTGACAGCACTTCGACTATGCCAGAAATCTTTTTCACAGTTTTCAATTTTACAATTAGAAAGTCATAGAAACCATAGCTTCAGAGGGTTTCCCTCTCTGCATTCCTGTGCTCATCCGAACCCTTCATCCTTGTGAGGGAAAATAACAGCAGCTCCGCTTCGTTTCGTTCTGTATGGAGAACTTGGGAGCTATTTTTAGGGTAAACATTTTAATGTTTACTCTGAACGTGCAGTGAAAGCAAGCAGCACGGTAGTACCTCCCTTCAACTATGACTGGTTTTCTGGGGGAAGCCACAACACTCCTTTACTAAAGGACAGAAACAGCTTTCTGATGTGTTTGTAAAAATTGAAATCTAGGTCTATTCATAATTTAGGTCTTGGCATAATTTACATGAATGCTGCTGTGCATACTGAAAAAGCACGCTTTTTAAAAATCAGGTTTAAATAAAAAAATTATGTCCGATACAAATTCACTGGAATATTTCTGACTCCTCTGTTAGCGAGAGGTCCCATCCTTGTCAAGTCCAGTAACTGTAGCTATTTATCCGAGTGCTTCATTGCCTCCACTGCTAAAACCAGAGGTATTTAGCAGGGAAGAATCTCTAACTAATAACAGTGGGAGTCAGAACAAGACCCTAGCTTGCAGAGGAGCACTGTTTAAATGCTAATATGAAGCTCTAAGTTTCTGACATGAAGTCCGATTTCTTAGGAAATCAGGGACGCTGAAATTCCAGCTCCTTTTTTCGGTTTTGTTTTTAAGTCAGGCGTACTCCCGCAAACAACGGAAGCCTTGTGCGCAGGGAGGTACAGGCACGGCGCATTTGTGCACGCACAGAACGAGTTCCCGGCTTTCCCGAACAGCAGGAACTTTGCCTTGTTACAGCCAAAGCTACAAAGTTTTGCTCTTCTGTTCAGGCTGCGCAGCCGATGCTTTTCGCTGGGAAGGGCTCTGGTGTGTTGGTGGAGGGGATAGCCACCACGTTACCTCGCTGTCTTATTAATAACTAAGCCAAGATCACCAAACCATTTCACCAGCGCACATACACCAGGCTGACACAGTGCTTCTAAAAGTATAATCTTTCATCCAGCTACTCAGCCTGACTGCCCTTAGCCCAATAAAACAAGAAGGAAAAATAAAACCTTCTCTGAACCACCTTTGATTCGCAACACCAGTAACAGTTTAGAACTGCGAGAGCAGCTACTCATACATGAGATTTCTCCTTTATGCACATTTCTCCCAGGACACTCGCTTGCCAGTTTACAGGCATTATCAAATGACAGTGTTTCACATCATCTAAAGTTATTGCTTAAAATAATTTCCAGTAACTTAACCCAAACTTGTAACATTTTTACCACTTCCTCTTCGGGGCTTTCAGGGTTGCGGTTGCAAATTTAGGAGTTGTGTACACTACTGAAGATTAGGAAAGAGGACAAATCCTTTCAAGCTTCAGCTCTTCTAACCTTCTGCACCGGACTGCTTTTGGTCACTTTGATCTCTAAGGGATTCATACTCTTTAATACGTACTGAGGAACTCTGCCAAACAATACAGTTCTGCATTCCTTTGCTGTGTGACAAGTAGAAGTAGCCTAGAAAACCCAGCCCCTCACTGCAAAACTTCTCGCAGAGACTTTTTCCAGTGGGGGTTAGTTTTCCAGTTTTTAGGTACTATTTTGAAATGGCCAGAGCAATCTTCACTTGTAATCAAACCACTTGGCTGCTTGATGAATACAATTACATTGAATCAGGATGATCTGGGTCTCTTTGTAAAAGCAGATTTCCTCATCAAAGCTTACTTAACATCTGCACTAAGTTCAAGTGGTTTTCAAACAAAACCAAGAATCCCCGATATCTACAGTGCAGCAACAAAAAGCAGGTTCAGAAGGCATTCCTAGAACTCACTGCAAAGTAAACATCAGCGCGATGACGTCTTTGTGCTGACTTAGTTACAACTCACCCTGCTCAATGCAGAATTATTCTTTTCTTCTCAGATATACATCATGTACCAATGAAAACATTATTTCACCAAGAGAATGCAAACTTGTTCTAGATCTGCAATCATTTTATCAGCAAAAACCACACACAAAAGTCACTAAACTCTGATAAAAAGAAACAGTGTCACATACACATACTGTCAAGCTATTTCACAAGAAAACACCCAATCAAACCGAATTTGCAATTATAACTCACACGTAGAAAAGGCTGGTGAGCAGCCCAGACAACGGTATTATCACTCCACGTGATATTTAATAGTACATTACCTAGCAGGCTAATGCCTAAACGAGAGAGCCCCTGTCTCAGTCCTTCTCCCAGGCTCTCTGGAAGCTGCCTTCTCCATTCTTCTTGTCTGTTGTAATGCTCCTCATCCAGCGACAGCCTATCCATATTCCGAGCAAGGCTCGTTGCCAGATTGGTAATTGACGTCAGTGTACCTAAATACATGGAGATAGACATTTGGGTCCGGATCAGAATGCTTTAATTTAAAACACGGAGACATTCTACTCCTCGCTGCAACACCAAGCTTGTGAGCAGAGCGGCCGGTCAGCTTTAAAGTCGCCCACGTCACACGCTTTGCCACTCGTGAAGCCGCTTCTAGGGCCCGTGTC